TATATATATATATATATAATTATTTAAATATATAAAATTTTTGTCTGGTAAAACTTAATTTCACATTATCAAATATATAATAAGTATATCAAAATACTTATTTGTATAAGCATTTAATTAAAATAAGCACTTAATAAGCATTTTAAAAAATTAATAAAGAATAGATACTATTGAAAATTTATTATTCATTAACACAAATTTCTTCATCTTTTATATATAGTATGTAACTAAACATATTTACATAGAAAAGTAAATAAACCAATGGCATATAAAATATATGTTTAATTGTTATATAATAACTTTATTTTGTTATTTAATTATGAATTTCAATAGAATATAATACAATTGTGAGCAATTTATTCATTTAACATCCATAACATGCATTTAAAATGATCTTATAAAATTCTTTTAAAATTTATTATATAAATGTTTTTTTAAAAATAATTTATAAACAATATGTGAAAACTTTTAAGAAATTTAGTTTTGTGAGAAGAGTTTGTCAAAATATAGTGACTGAAGAAGTGAAAAAGTTAGAGTTGAAGAGATTGCCAATCAGTGGATATCCAATCTTTTCTATCTCTAACTTATCTAGAACATTTTGGAAAATAAATTGAAAAACTAACTAATAAGAAAGTGTTATTTAATAGAAATCTTGTATTGTAACTGCTCTTTTTTTCTCTTTACATTCAATAAATAAAATTAAAGACATAGGCTGCCAAGACTGTAGTACCAACTATTAATATAAATAATAAACAGATTATTACATTACAAGTGAATATAAATGAAGAAAATTCTGTAAATCAAGAGTAAAACAATTACTAGAAATATAAAATAAATGGAAAAATGCCAAGATTTTATATAAAATTTCTTGTGAAATAAATTTAAAAACTGTCAAAGAATTGTGTATTATTTTAGTTAGATGGAACAAAAATTAAAAAGAGAATTGAAATCACTAGTCTCAATATAAATAAGTTATTTCTATTTCACTAAATAAATTAATTAAGAAAGATAACTACACAGGAGAAAAATATCAATATGATTTATATTTATATTGAGATATTCTTACATGGCTTCTTATATAACAAGCTTGCATAGTTTGTAATTTAAAGGAATTTATTTTATGAGAAATGTATAACATTATGTAATTAATTTAATTTTGTTTGCATATGGTTGCTATAGAAATGAAATAACTCCATTACTATGGTAACAGAATGCAGTACAGATGGATAAATGATGATCTTAATTTGTAAATTCTTGAATTTTTACCCTGAATTGTTATTCTTGAAGATAGAATTCAAATGATCCCAAAATCTTTAGGTTTTACATTTTTCATGTATTATTTCTAAATTATTCTAAATAAAACATTTGAAGAATTTTTGAGAAATGTAATGTATTTCCAAATTTAAAAGTTATTTTGGAAAGATAAATATTTTGAAATAATTGTTAAATTAGAAATATATATTGTTGAAAATAGAAGATTCTCTTTAATTTTCTATTACAAGAAACATTATTTAATTACTAAAATTATCTTTAAATTCCACAATTCCATAGCATTGTAATAAAGTAAATTTACATTTCCCGAGGAAATTTTATTTCTGTTTAAACTGAGAATAAACATTTTTTTTTTGAACTTATAAATTTATGTCATATTAGGTACCCATTTTGCAAATAATTGTATTAATTTTTGTTGCATCAAAAAACATAATAAAAGAAAATAACTAGAAATTTTTTTACCTTAAATATAATTTCAAATGTTGTATTAAAATATCAATTTTAAAATATTTGGTATCAAATTTCTTAAATGTAAGAATAATAAATTATTTTCCACATTATTAATTTTGAATTATTTTTAAAATTGTTATTGCCATCATTATTGTTTCTATATTAAGTTTATTTAATATGAAATATGTTAAAATTAGAATGAAATTGTATTTCTAAATTGTTATAAACATTATTGATTTAATACTTTAGATTAAATTTGTTTGTTTAAACATTGATAAATTAATGATACCATTTATTAACTTTAAATTTTCATTTAAATAATAGTATTAGTAGTATTTGAATATTTTAAATTTTCAAATTAGAAGAGTTATTGCTTTATAAATTTTAATTAAAACATAATAATAATAACACTAAGTTTATTAAATGTTTCAGATAAAGAATATGATTGTATATAAATTATGGAAACAATCCTAATTTGTCAGAACTAAATTATTCATATTTTTTCTTTTTATTTTAATTTATTATGTATGAAAAGCATTATTTAATAAAGCATTGTTAAAATAACTTCTTTATTTAGAGAAACATGTTATTTTTGAAATCTGAATTTTATGTCTTGATTGCTACATATTTTTACTGTATATTTTTATTCATTATTATTCTGGATACAACAATGAAACTTTAACAACTAGCTATTCAAAATTAAATTACAGTTTCTATGGAAACATATCAGATAACTTAGTTTAGCTAAAAGCTAACTTCAATGAGCAAAAAGTGAATCTTAAACAACCTTTTGTCAAATTAAGATAAAAATAACAATAAATATATGAAAGTATTATCAGTACTTTAATATTATTATAAATATAAAATTATTTGATGCATATATTACAAAAGATTTAAAAATTCTTCTTTCTTTATAAAATTTTTGAGATTTTTATTGATCTTTTAATAAATATTTAAGTTTATATTATTCATAAATATGTTGTGTTTCTTTGAATACAGAATAAAACAATTATTATTAATTTATGAGTGATCATAAAATTAATCATTTTCAATCAAAAATGATTAAATACTATTAATTTTATGATCATTCATAAATTTATTATGATACTCAAAGTTTAATGCAGAAAAACTGTTAATACTCATAAATATGTATTAGAAACTCATATACTATTATATTATATTTAATTTTTAAATTTAATAATGTATTATATCTATGATTTTTAAATATTTTCAATTGAATAAGTAAATAATTAGTTTTTATTCATTTTAATCGAAAATAAATTGAATACAAGTTATTTTATTGTTATTAAATTTTATTGAGTTGAAAATATTTTTATTCCAAAATGTGTTTAGTTTTGGATATTTTAATACTATTTACTATTCTCAAAACACATTATGTTAGTAATTTATTTTGTCATTAACTATGTAGCTAAATATATATATATTTTAATACTCTTTTCACAATTAAAATAATAATTGAATAAATAAAGCTGAATAGTCACAATGAATATAGATGATAAATACATTTAATAAATTCATTAATTGTCTATTGATGATTGTGTTGAAGAATTAAAATAATATACTTTAATACAATGTTGGTTACAGTAGTTTAATGAAATTTTGAAGATGTTATAATATTTATTAATTCTGACTTTAAATTAATTACTGTCAAGTAACAGAGATGGAATTTCTGCATTTAAATGATAAAATACATAATTAATTATATGTCAATAATACTAATAATTGTTTTGTAGTAATTTGTACTAACATTATTAATTTATGGATAAGTTGTTCTTAATCATAATATGATTGTAAATTAATTGCATTATTTTTCAATTGTAATCCATAATGGAGCGATTTCTTATTTATGGTGTATTAAGAGAGCTAAATAAATAATTAAAAATGACATATTTTCAGATATATCAACAATAAAACATTCATTTTTGTCAGTATCAAATAATAAACTATAATAAATGTTCATGAACAATAAAGTTTATATATTTAGTATAAGATTCATAAATACTAATTTTCATATGTAATTAATATTAAAGAATTACATCTGTAGTACTGGTATAGATTAGTATAATTAAATATTATGAATTAAGAATAATGATTATGTTCATCTAAAGTTATTAACAAATTTTCCAATAAAAAAATATATACCATAAAATAAAATTTCACTTTAAGTTGTAATATAGAAAAATTTTCTCTTATAATAAGATGTAATAATTTAACTTTAAATTCATAAGTGATCCTGTGAGAGATATTTAATTCTTAAAATTTATCACATTAACTTTTATTGGGATTAGTTTATTTAAATTTAAGATTATGAATATTACAGATTCACTGATACTAACAAAATCAATAGATTAATTTTAGAAAATGTAGAGAATTGTTTTACAAAAATCAGATACCTAAATTAATAACATTTTTAAATTTCTTATCATATTATAATTATTATTTATTTTTCAGCTGATATGATGATGTAACAAAATTAATTTTATTACTTAATATTACAAAATGTAGACTTATCAGATTTTTTGACACTTTATATCAAAATCAACATTTTCTTAATTGAAAACTTTCTACTACAGAATTAAAATAGACATGATAAAATCTGTATTTTAATAATTATTATAGTATCAGTATTATTTAATGAAATAATTATACATCTACTGTATATGAAGACTATTTATTATATTCCTCAAATAGTACATTTTATATCAATACAATCACTACTCTAATACTGGTCTAACATATAAATATTCCAACAAAGACATCAACAACCAATAGTTTATTTAATTCATTTCATATTTAGTTAGGTTCTGTTCTGTAAATATTCATTCTATTTTATGTTCAACCTGACAATGTTTGTTTAATATGGAAGAAAACATTTGTTTTCATTATATTATTTCATTGTTATGCTGGTTATTGGTGTTTTTGTTGGAATATTTAGTACATTTTGTAAATGGTGTATTCTTATACTGTACAATAATTTTGAAATTTATTTTATTCTTTGAAACAATTAATTAATAGTACTTTAAAGATATTCTTATTCTGACTTTATATAAGACAATTTAGATTCTTTTTGAAAGAAAATACTCAAATAATGAATAAAACATTTAATTTAATTAAAATTGAACAAATAATATATTAATATTGAATTATTTTATATAGAAAAATATTAAATGCAATTATATTACTGTTATATTGTGCAGAATGCTTTAATGAAAATTACCTTTTTATAAATAAAGCATTATTGTTTATCTGCAAATAAGTTATTACATTTACTAATTTAATTTGTTGTTATCTTTAGAAATTGCTTCTTATTTAATGAATTACTCATAAAAATGTTTCATTGTAGATTTACAACCATCAGATTCAGGAATGTACACATGTACAGCATCTAGTGAAAGTGGAGAGACATCATGGAGTGCTTCTCTAGCAGTTGAATGTAATTAATTCTGCTAATTTTTTTTTAAATCTCAAAGTTATAATAAATATACAATAATTGAATTTAAAATATAACAAATTTTCCACATTAGATGAAAATTGATATAAAAGTATTATATTGAATAAATTTTTTATTTAATTACAATTTATAGCTCCCAGAAATCCTAATGTGATATTTCACAGAACACCCGATCCATCCACATTTCCTGGTCCTCCCTCTAAGCCAACGGCAGTGAATATTACTGAAACTTTGGTAACTTTGATGTGGCATCGGAATTCAAAGACAGGAGGGTCGTCTCTAATTGGATATACGGGTAAATTAACAAATTCTTACATATTATGTGTTCTTCCTATTTTAATTACATAAATGGAAATATGTTTATTTAAAATTAAGTTATAACTGAAAAAGTAAAACATAATAAAGAAAGCAATCATTATTCCAAAACATTATTATATTACATTATCTACATAATATCAAAAAGAAAAAAATGAAATATTTATAAAGAAATAGCAATAAATTATTATTTTTATCTCTTTTCCAATGACAAAAACTATAGTTTTTACATAATATGATACTTTTAAAGTAAAATCTAAGATTAAGTATTTTTATCTTAAAAATTTCTGAAAAATTAGTCTTAAAAATACTTTTAACTATGAAAAGTATTGCAATTACAAGTAAATTTTTCACACTAATTTAGTTTTATGTTTATTTAGAATAATAATTAAAGTTTTGTAGAAAAAGTGAAATTAATATTTTAAAATAATTTATTGTTAATTAATATAATTTAAATGTGATTTTTTTTTATAGTGGAATATTACAGTAGTGATTTACAAAGTGGATGGGTTACAGCAGCACACAGAGTTCCAGGAGAAACATATGCAGTTCAAAATTTACGTCCTGATTCCCGTTATATATTTTTAGTTCGTGCTGAAAATTCTCATGGTTTAAGTCTTCCCAGTCCTACTTCAGATGTAATTAAGACATTAGGTAAAAATCTTTTTATGATGTATCAGAAATATCAGAAACATATAATACTTTTTCTAGAAATTAATTTTAAATATATTATTTATTTCATCTTTTAAAAAAAAATTGAAGTTAATATGAAAATGTGTTAAATCAGCAATTCACTCTAAAAATATTTTTATAAATATATTATAGCTAGAGCTAGTAGTCTTTCATAAGAAATCTAAGAAGTATGGCTTTGCCTTAATTTATTATTTTAATAATTTTTTAAAAATTTTCTGTATGAAAAATGTTAAAAAATTATATTAACAAAATAATTTATAATGAAATCTGATGCAGAATATATGATAAAATAATCAAATTTGTTTTGCATTGATATAGATTTCTGTGAATAAATTTATAAATTCTCATAATACTTTTTATCTTAATTTGGTTCAAATTTTTTCATCTTTTCATTCATCACATATTCATTACAGAAATGTAATTCTAGACATATTGAACTTTGTAATAATGAAGTAACTTATCCCAAATTAAGAAATTAGAGATCAGATTTGTTATTGAATTTTTAAGATTTTGATGGTAATTCTGTTGGCCTTATGCATGGAGCATGATTGATTGCTAACAATAAAAGATTAGATAATAACATCACATTAAAACAATGTTAACATTAATGTCATATAGAAAATAATTATTTTTTCATCAGTTGTTGGTTCCCTAATTAAAATTCACTGTTAATGATATTAAAATTACAGATTTTGAAAATGATTGAATTTTTTATTATATAGAATACTGGATTTTAAATCAATAAGATAGTACAGTATATCATAAATGCAAAATGCATCTAAGATTTTTTAAATTGCATTTATGTTTTAAAATATTTACAAGACATTAATTTTTAATAATACAGCAATTGTATAAACATAACTTTATTATCTATTATAAACTTATAAAGCATATACTATTATAAAGCCTAACTATTATCATGTACTAAGATATTAATTGCCTACTTTTAGGCTATTTTCTGTAATTTAGTTATTATTATAGTAACAGAAATATAGTTGTTTGAATGATTAGACTTAATATGTTATTCAGATTGCTATGATCAGTTTAATATAGAGATAAATATTTTGTTTCAATAAAAATTACATCAAGTCAAATCAGTCTGCAGTATAAACTTAATTTAATTTCATATTTTTTTTAATATTAACCAAAAAAATTGAAATTATCCTAATACAAATTCGAGTTTTTAAATTAATATTGTATTTAATCCAGTTATCTCAGTTTCAGAAAAATTGACATACTCCTTTGCTAATCAGTTCTTTGATTTGGTATATCTTTCATCATTTTAATATAGAAGGGAAAAAAAATGCTACTTTAGGAATTTCTCTTATTTTATTAATCTTTATTGATTGGATTTATGATGGATATAAAGTTAATAAAATGAAAAACTAAGGAAAGTACTATCTTTACCATCTATTAGAATTACATTATGCATAAATTTTTTTTTATTAAACTGAGAAATATAATAAAATTTAATTTTTCTGATTGACTAGTTTTAATTTTTTTTAAAAGTGGGGAATGGAAAATATATGTAGCATATAAATTTCTTAAAGAAAATTTTCATTGGATATATATAT